CCAAATATCCCCTCATTATTCTTCTAATGCCTATAGAATTTGTAGTGACATACCTTCTTTCATTGTGGTGATACCCCCTTTGACATTGATAATTTGTTTTCTTTTTTAAACAACTTTTGCTAGGAATTAATTTTATTAATCTTTTCAAAGAACTAAATTTTGGGTTTGTTATCTCTATTCTTTGTAAGTCTTCTGTTCATTGATTTCTGTTCTTGTCTTGAAATTTGCACCCGACTTCTTAAACTTGGGTTTGTTTTTTCCTATTGTGGAAACTTACTTGGTTTTAAACCTCTTTTCTTATATGAGTTTATAAAACTATTTCTCCCTAAGTACTGTTTTAGCTGTATCCCATAAATTTCAAAGTTGTATTTTCTCAATCATTCAAGTCAAAGTATTTTCTAACTACCACTGTGATTTCTTATTTGATCCAAAGTTTATTTAGAAATAGATTGTTTAATGTCCACGTTTGGGAATTTTCTAACCTTATTTTTTTCCCCTTTTGATTTCTAATTATTTGTGGCCAGAGAATATATTTCTTAAGATTTCAATTCTTTGAAATTTATTGAGACTTGTTTTAAGGCACAGGATATGGCCTATCTCAGCAAATGTCCTATGTACACTTGAATGTATATCCTGTCATAGGTGTAGTGTTCTGATTAGCATTAGGTTAAAGCAGTGAGTAGTGTTGTTCAGATCATCTAAAACTTTACAGATTCCTGGTTTTTCTATAAACTACTGAGAAGATGCTACCTTTAGCATGTAGTACCATTAGATTTCTCTCCATCTCCTCACCCAAAATCAACTCTTTCCTCAGCAAAGCTGCTGGACTAGAAGACTGCCATTCTTGCAGAATGAGCTGCGTGGGTGTTGGGGGGAATGTAGACCTGTTGGCCATCTCTAATAGATTTCTAGTGCCCTAAAATGGGTGTTTTTGATAATTTTGTCTAGTTATAGCTATCTATCTATCTGTATGTTAGTAGAGGAGAATTGCTGGCCTCTTCTGTCATAATTAGAAGCTAATTTTATGGTAATGTTTTAATATGATGTCTTTAACCTTTATTAAAAATATTGAGAAGAACATTTATGCCTCTTCTCTAAACCTCTGTTGGAGGTTTTTAAGTTGTTAATGTTGTTTGTCCAAAATGAAGGGCATAAACTCCCTTCAGGATGTGGTATGGGAGGTCCCTATGCCCTTTATGACTTACTTGGTTCCTTCATAACATTCACCAGTTGAATCACAAGAAGTTACATGTTAGAAGTGAATATTATAAATTAGAATTTTATTCTTGAGAACGCATTTCATACCATAAAATACCAAGACATCACAAATGTTCTTCAAAATCATACAAATATTTGCTTTTACAAACATTACGTAGAATTTCATTCAATAAATACTTACTTGAGAGATTACCATGTGCCAGAGACTGTGCGAGGCACCAGGAATAAAAACAAACGTACTCAGGAGGCTCCTGCCCTCCCCTCAGAACTAACAGTCCAGAGAGATGATTATGAAGGAATTACAGGCAAGTGTGATATGGGCAATGGCAGACGAAGAAGCCCAAGTGTTATGATTGTGTCCAGTTTGTTTTTGCTCCCACAATTTTTTTCTGTGGTCTTTGGAATCCCTGAGGCTTTAGAAATAAAATATCATTAAAGCCTAGACTAAGGACATGTCTCCCATGTTAAGTTTCTGAATGGTAAACACTTGGGGAGGGATAGTTCCCTTGGGAAAGGTTTCTCCTATTCTGAATTGTGAATATACATTAGATCACTTGGGAAGCTTTAAAAAAAAAAAAAATATCCCTGCCTGGCCCCATTTCTAAAGATTCTATCTTAATTCATCTGGTGAGTCCCAAGAACTGATTTTTTAAAAGTACTCAATGATTTTAGCATGCAGCCCTGGTTAAGAACTAGTATAGCTTTTGATTCCAAATGTTTCCTCACCATTTGACACTTAGGATAAAAGAAGCCTCCTTCAATGTTTTAGTTTTCTGGGAAAGTCTTCTTCACAATACTTATGTCTTCCTTCTGATGGTGTTTGGTAGAGAGTGAGCCCTTACTGTCAACACTTCAAGATTCTAAAGAACACGAGCACTAATTCCTCTCTCTCTTTCACTCATCCCCAAGTGAGATGGAGAAATTCATCTGATTGGTTAGATTCTGACGCTCACTGAGCCACTTTCTACATAGCAGTAGATGATGTTACTTTGCTCTACCCATAGCCTTTGCTTCTATCCCATAGTGATAATAAAAATAGCTAGGTGGTACTTATTGAATGCTTACCATATGCCAGCTTCTATCCTAAGCTTTTTACATGAATGAATTCATTACATCCTCATACCAACCCCATGACGTACATTCTATAGTTATATCCTTTTAGGTATGAGGAAGCTAAAGCTCAAAGAGATTAAGTAACTTGTTTGAGGACACAGTGTCATTGGACTGGGATTTCAATCCAGACCACCTGGCTCTGGAGCATAGTGCTTAACGTCCATGCTACTCCACTGCTAAGCGCATGCTTGCCCCCTGGCATTCCCCATTCTACTGGTAACTGGGTCTGTAAGCCTCTCTGTGGAGCTTAGTGCCTGAAAGTACCCCAAGTCATCTTAGTAGGTGCAACTCTACTCCCAAGTGGGTACCATGGTCCAGAATTGAGGAGAGGGAGTAGTTCCCTTCAGTCAACATATACTCAGACTTCAAATTGTCTGGGAGTTCTGCACTTAAGGATTTGGAATCTCTAACAATTATGTGTTAAGTTTCTCACCCCAGAGAGACCCTTAACTCACACTACACTCTTCTTCCTTGGATTCTACTTTGCCTGTTCTTAAGGATTTGAAAAGAGGAAGTGCCTTTAAGTGGCACAAGGATTCAAGATACATGATTACACATCCATGAAACAAAGTTTTCTACCTCACAAATCAGTTCATTGCGATTGTGTATTGCTACCAACTATACTAGTCTAGTCCCAACAACCACATGGCTTCGGTTGCCATGGTCCCATGGCTTTAAACATGAGTTTTGCTCATCACCGAAGGTGTTTGAAAGGTTATTAAGGTTCAGGTGGTTTAAGTAAAGTCATTTTAAGTAGAAGGATGCTAGTAACAGAAGAAAGTTTCCCTTCCTGGTAAACTTCAATTAGCCAATGAGAATTCTCTAATACCTGTATTTTCCTTTACGTCTAAATACAGATCTTAGTTTTAGAAGACTGCATAAAGATTATTTTAGAAAATATTCTGTCTCATTATCATTATTATAGTTAACTATTAAAAGCCACTTTAACCACTTTTTCAAAGTGGATATCTGATTTTTAGTTCACAGCTATATAGCAGGGATGGGCAAACTACAGGTCATGGGCCAAATCTGGCTGCTGCCAGTTTCTGTAAAGTTTTATTGTAATGTAGCCCTGTTCCTTCCACGTGTTATCCATTGCTGCTTCCCTTATGATGGCAGAATTGAGTAATTGCAGCAGAAACCGTCTGGCCCGCAAAACCTAAATTACTTACTCTATGGCTCCTTACAGAGTAAGTCTGCTGTTGCCTGCCATTGGATAACACCCCTGCCCTGCCCCCATCTTCTAGCCCATCATGCCTCATTGCTGCTTCTCATTTTGTCTTTCGTTCCTGATTTTCTATTTTACAGGTGAATAACTATTACCTCATTCAGGTTAGCATTTTTATTTTTATTCCTATTTTTTAAAAAGATTTTACTTATTTGAGATAGAGCACAAGCAGAGGGAGCAGGAGAAGCAAGCTTCCTGCTGAGCGGGGTGGTGGAGGGGTGCTGGGATCTGGACCTGAACCAAAGGCAGGGTGTTAACTGACTGAGCCACCCAGGCGCCCCCAGGTTAGCATTTTTAAAGGACCAAAGCAAAATGCAGCTGACTCTTTACCTGTGCAGTACCTTCCTGTCAGTGATTCTCCGGTGGAAAAAAGTTACCCTGATCACTGTTTTCCTAATACAAGGTAAACCTTTTCAAATTTATATGCGCAAGTATATTTTCAGCTCAAAAAATCTTTTATTATAACTTTATTTTTATTTGTTTTGATTCCTTCTTTAAGAATTCCATTGCTTTAGGATTGGTGATCCAGAGCTAACCTCTTTGTTATTCTCATCTCTTTATCCTTCCCAAACCATATAGGACGACAGGAAGTTTGTTGGCAACATCACCTATTTTTATTCTCTGCTTTGGTACTTCTGTTGTTTTAACTGCATCCAAACGTGTTCCACGGATTTTTAAATCTTTTTGTATTTTTTCCATCTTAGCCAGCTTTCTGCTCTTGCATCTGCTGGCGTCTGCTCTTCTTATTCTCGGCTGCAGTTTCCCAAGAGCCCATTTCTTTTTGCCTCCTGTTAAAATCACCAAGCAGATAGCTTCTGAAGCTTTTCTTGTTTCCTAGAGAAGGGTATTTTCTAAGATAGGTTTTTATTCTGTTGTCAGAGTAATGTGGATATGGGGCCCACATAGATTTGTTTATGTTTTTGGTTTTTTCCCCTATTTACCAATATTTAAATGAGGAGGGATCCTCATGTTAGTCAACAAACAGGATGGGCAGATTGCTCCCCCAAAGCATCCTCTCTGTGGGTGTTGCATGAATATTCTTCTGCGATTCTCAATGGTAAGTTGATGGACCACTGAATACCACAGCTTATTTTTCTGTTCCACTGTCAGTGGAGGTTTGGGTTTCTAATTTAGGGGCTGTCATGAAAAGTGCTGCTGTGAACATTCTTGTCACGCCCACTGGTGCACATATCCATGTATTTTCGCTGAGTATGTATCTAGGAGATGAAATGCCAGGTCATGGGGTCTGCATGCTTTCAAACTTAGCAGATAAGGTCAATGCATTATGAATATCAAGCCAAAACTACTTAAGAAATATTCAGTAACATTTCTTTTTGTTTGATTCAGCAAGCCAGAATATCCTCCTAGTTAACAAAATGCTGAAATGAGACAGAGAAAATTTTCTCTTGAAGTAGAGCATCTGGGAAACACTAAAGAGAATAAACTCCTTCATTTGATTATAATTACTGAAAATAATTTTAAATTATTGGAAGTTTAGGGAGAAGAAAGATCTTTCCTCATGAATTACACATTGACAAGTCCATAAGAGCTGCACGTCTTGGGAGAAGCACAGGTTACTGGAATTCCATATGATGATCTGTACAGCTTCTTTTAAAAGAGATAATCTGTAAAGAAACAGAAACAAAAAAACACAAATGTTTGATTCTGTGATCTTTTAAGAAACAATCATTACCAGACCGATACATCCAAAAAACCACTGTGATGCAATTACACAGACCCTTGATTCAGGAGCCAGACAATGCCAGATAGCCCAGCTGTGCCACTTACGAGCCCCATGATCGAAATGTTTCTTAACTCACAGGTCTATTTCCAAATCACAGGACTTACAAACCTTACATTAACTGAACTATAACTGAAAACTTAATATGTGGACACTGTAAAAAAGTCAAACTACAAAAGGATATAAACATGCGGAAAGTATGTCTATTCCCCCCAGTCCTCAACTCTTCCAACAAATACTGAACCAATTTCTTCTTGATCTTTCCAGAAATATTTGGTGTGTACTGTAGGCCTCATGAGTCCATATATGTTTGTATGTGTACATACATATTTCTAGCTTTTAATTAAGGAATGTGACACATATGAAAAAATAACATAAAACTGATGCGCAGCTTAGTGAATTCATGTTAAATATTCATCGGTGTAAATATCGCCCAGGTCAAGAAGTCCTATAAGTTCCCACTTTCTCCTTCCCAATCACAACTCTCTCTATCCTCTAAAAGTCATCACTATTCTGATTTTTATTTTTTACAGTATTTACTTCCTTGATTTTCTTTGTATCTTTACCTCTTAAATATGCATTCTTAAATGCCATAGTTTTGTGTGGATTTAAACTCATACTGTAGATTTCTTTTTAGGATTTGGCTTCTTTCAATACTATGTTTGTGAGATTCATCCATGTTGTATTTAGTTCTGCTTCATCGTTTTAACTGCTACACAGTAGGAATTGACGTTTTCTGCAAAGGGCGTGATAGTAAATATTTTATGCTTTGTGGGCCAGTAAATAAAATCAAGGATATTATATAGGTCCTCAACAAGAGAAGACATTTTCACAAAATTTTTGATAAAATTCAAAGGCAGTAATAACAATTGACTACAGGTTTGTTTTTAGTATGGGTCTACTAATAAGAAAAATGGAAGTCTTTTTCTTTTTTTTTTTTTCTAAAGATTTTATCTATTTATTTAACAGAGAAATCACAAGTAGTCAGAGAGGCAGGTAGAGAGAGAGGGCAAAGCCAGCTCCCTGCTGAGCAGAGAGCCCAATTCGGGGCTCGATCCCAGGACCCTGAGATCATGACCTGAGCCGAAGGCAGAGGTTTAACCCACTGAGCCACCCAGGTGTCTCAAAAGTCTTATTTAGGGGATAACGTTTTGCTTAATTGAGGTTCAGATCATCAAAATTGATTACATATCCCCAATAGCAGATAAACATTTGCAATGAGACCCCCGACACCCATCCCCATCAGCTTTGAAAATGTCTGTCACACAGAGAGGTGCTGCCAACACCGACATCAACCATGAGCATATGCTTTTAATGGTGCATATGTATGTCTGCGGGGCATTTACAGAACTCCATTAGATTCTTCTCTTGATATTTCCCTCTTAGCATGTCATTACGACACATATTAATCACTTCCAGTTGAAGTTAAGTGGGACATTCCTCCTTCACACAGTTAAAGGGACTTTGAAATAGGATAATTTCCTTTGCACTTGTTTCAAGGTCCAAAAAATGCTCCTGAAGGTGTAAACTCAGATAACATATCCACTGCAAATATGTATGGGGATTAAAATCTTGCTTCTTGTTTTAACTTGTGATAGGCGAAGGAAGTATATAAAACAGGTTGCCATTACTTGTGATTCAATGTTAGTTGCCATTGAAGTGACTTTCCCATAGTGTAAATTCTGCCATATAAGCTCTGTTTTGCCTTGTAATTTTAGGTTGGATTCATTTAAAAAATATTATCAAGTCTACAGCAAAAGTTAATTTCCAAAGCCATTCAGTATTCCATAGTAGTGGATAAGGTTAGTTTTCTTTCTTAGAAAAATCTCCATCTTAATCTGAGCTCAAAAACTCACACTGAAGGGTTATCAGTGCTAAGCCATCAAGTATCAGTGAGGTAGGCAAGTCAGGATATACAGCTCTTTCTGACCAAAAAAAATCATGGAACAATAAATTAACAATGGTTAAATTCATGAGACTGAGTGAAGATCACCACTGAAACAGCTGGTTAAAAAACTCATGATAGATTCAAACATGTTTTCACTAGTAAGAGGTTTATCCACAACCTACTGCTAACATTCTGTGGGGAAATCTGGCCATATGTTCGGGGCTCCTCTCGATTGTAATCCATTATGTCCGGCCACAATGATTTTAAAAGCCTTGTTGGTTTCTGTTTCCGCTAGTAAATAAAGATCTTCTGCCTTTGGCAAGCCTGAGCCCCAGCTTGTACCAAACTTGGCCACTGCCCCAAGGCAAGAAAATGGCCAGTGATCGCAGATCCCTTAGGAAGGACTTTCTTCTCTGCTGCTATTGTTCATCTAGTGCCTTCCATTTCCATAGCTCTCCAGTGTCTTTAAAAATATGTTTACAATGTGTCCATTATTTTCCCTAAATGTTGCAGCTACCTACTACATTCTACTAAAATCAGAAGATATGTCTATTTTTTGTTTTATTAAATTCTGTCCCCCAACTTATGAATGTTTTCTTCAAATTTTTATGTTTTATTAAATTCTGCTGTTATTTTATTGTATTATTTCTTTCCTTTTGCTTTTTTGCATCTAATTCACTGTTGGTTTTTTTTAAAGATTTTATTTATTTATTTGACAGAGAGAGAGGGATCACAAGTAGGCAGAGAGGCAGGCAGAGAGAGAGGGGGAAGCAGGCTCCCTGCTGAGCAGAGAGCCCAATATAGGGCTCGATCCCAGGACCCTGAGATCATGACCTGAGCCGAAGGCAGACGCTTAACCCACTGAGCCACCCAGGTGCCCTAATTCACTGTTCTTTTTATAATTTCTTGAAAAGGATGCTTAGTCTTATTTTCATCTTTTCAAATAAATGCCTTTAAGACTACAAATTTCTAAGTGCCACATTAACAACATTCCACAAGTTTGATACATATTAGCATTTTTGTCATTTTTCAGTTCAAAGTATTTTCTAGTTCTATGACACTTTCTTTGATGAACAGATTATTTATATCTGTATTTCTTAATTTTCAAACATATTAGAATTATCTTGTCATTGATTTCCCATTTCATTGCATTTTTATCAAAGAACACACTTTGCAGGATTTCAACTTTTTGAAATGGTTGACACTCGCTTTATGACCATAATAGTTTTTGTACATGTTTGTTGTGTGCATTCTTAAAAGAGTATGCATTCTGGAGTTGTTAGGTGTAATATTCTATAAATGTCCATTAGGCAAATTTCTTAATTATGTATTTCAAACCTTCCATTTCTTTTTTTTTTCCTCTGGTTGCTCCACCAATTCCTGATAGTGATTAAAATTTCCTAGCATTATTTTGGATTTGTTTCTCTATGCGGTGCTATTACATTTGCTTTACAAAGGTTGAGGCCATGTTACTAGATACATTCCTATTTGTGACTAAAACCTTCCCAATAAATTAAAACCTTTATCTTTATGAAGTGACCCTCATTTGTCTAGTGGGGTTTTCTGCTTTAAAGCCCTCCCTCTAATACTAATATTGTTATTCCCACTTTCCTGTGGATGATGTTTTCATGGTATCTTTTTTTATCCTTTAACTTGTAAGCATTCTGTATATTTAGATTTTGCATATGCTTCTTACAAACAGCATTTATTTTTATTCAGTCTGACAAATTCTGACTTTGGGCATTTAGCTATTTACATTTAATATAAATTAATGATGAATCCACAATAAAAACCTACCATTTTATTCAGTGCTTTCTATTGGTTTTGTTTCCTTTTCCTCTCCTTTCTATCTTCCTTTTATATTGAGTGGGACTTTTATTCCATTTTCTTCTATTAGTTTAGTGTCATACATCTTTCTACTGTGCTTTAGAAGTTACCTTAGACGTTACGGACTGTTGCCTTGAGTCATCAAAGATAATGCTAAATAACACTTTATCCCTCTTCTAGATAAAGCAAATGCCTTACAACAATTTAGCCCACACACGGATTTGGGACTCTTGCACTACTTATGCTGTGTGACTGTAATGTCAGCAGTGTTGCTTTTTCTCCTTCTCCTTCTTCTTCTTCTTTTTTTTTTTTTTGCAGTTAATAAATATCCACATATTCTTTATATCCAACTTTCCAACTGGGATAATCTTCCTTCTATTTGATAAACACCCTTTAGTAATTTCTTGTAGTGAAGATGTCCTAGTGACTAATTTTGTTTCATTTATCTGAATATGTCTTTCACTGTCATTCTTGAAGGATATATTTGCATGGTATAGAAGCCTATGTTATTATACTATTTCAGCATTTTGAAGCTATCACTCCATTATTTTCTGGCTTTGTTTCTGGTCAGAAGTCAACTTCAGTTTAATTATTGCTCTTTAATTTTTAATTATTGTCTTGAATACAATTCACATCCTTTTCCCCTGAAAACTTTATATTTTTTTTCCTTTTGTTTTCAGCAGTCATATTAAAATATATGTAGGTATAGATTTTTAATATTTTTCTGCTTGGGGTTAAGAAGGCTTGTTATAGGGGCGCCTGGGTGGCTCAGTGGGTTAAAGCCTCTGCCTTCAGCTCAGGTTATGATCCCAGGGTCCTGGGATTGAGCCCTGCATGGGCTCTCTGCTCTGCGGGGAGCCTGCTTCCCCCTCTCTCTGCCTGTCTCTCTGCCTACTTGTGATCTCTGTCTGTCAAATAAATAAATAAAATCTTAAAAAAAATTTTTTTTTTTTAAAAGAAGTCTTGTTATAAATACTGAGTCTCTCATTCATTTTTATAAACTCAGGATTTCTCAACATATTTCTTCTCTTAGCAGTCAAATTTCTTGAATCAGTGGTCCACTCCTAATATCCTCTGGTCTCTTCCTAATGATTAAGTTATCCTACATCTATCCTTGCATCTCCTCTGTAGTTTCCACCTTTTTATTCCTTTATTCTTTCTAGGTACAAATTCTTCTGACCTATCTTCTAATTTATTAGTTTTCTCCATAGCTCTACTTATCCTGCTCTTAAATTCATTCATTGAGTTTCTCATGTTCATTACTATATTTTTAGAATCTAGAATTTCTATTTTACAGTAGAATTCTGCTATATCATTTGTATCATCTCCAATTCTCCTGAAAATTTCAATGTTGACTTTTTTTTTTTTAATTTTATTTATTTGTCAGAGAGAGAGGGAGAGAGAGCGAGCACAGGCAGACAGAATGGCAGGCAGAGGCAGAGGGAGAAGCAGGCTCCCCGCCAAGCAAGGAGCCCGATGTGGGACTCGATCCCAGGATGCTGGGATCATGACCTGAGCCAAAGGCAGCTGCTTAACCAACTGAGCCACCCAGGCGTCCCTCAATGTTGACTTTTATCTCTTTAAACATAACTGTGTTAGCTCAGGCTGCTTTAACAAAATACCTTAACTGGGGAGTTTAAACAACAGAAATTCATTTTTTCACAGTTCTAGAGATTAAGATCAAGATGTCAGCATGGCCGGTTCTGGGGCAAACTCTCTTCTTGGTTGTAGATGGCTGTCTTCTTGGCCTGTTCTCACATGGCAGGGAAAAAGAGAGGACAAGCTCTCTGTGTCTCTTCTTAGAAGGGCACCATTCCCATCATAGGGGACCCACCCTCATGATCTCATCTAAGCCAATTACCTCCCAGAGCCCTCATCTCCAGATATCATCATATTAGAGGTTAGGGCTTTAACATCTGAATTTTGGAAAGACACAAGTCTGTAGTACTCCACACCCACCCTCCAATTCATGTCCTTCTCACCATTCCATCCCAATAGCCCCCAAAGTCTTAACTCATTAGAGCATCAGCTAAGTCTCATCTAAATATCCTCTAAATCAGGTATGGATGAGGGTCAGGGTATGATTCATCCTGAGGCAAATTCCTCTCCAGCTGTGAACCAGATGAGTTAGGTACATGGTTTTTTTTGTTTGTTTGTTTGTTTTTGGTAAAAGATTTATTTATTTATTTCAGAGAGAGAGAGTGAATCCCAAGCAGACTCCTGCTGAACACAGAGCCCGACACAGGGCTTGATCTCATGACCCTGAGATCAGGATCTGGGCTGAAATCAAGAGTTGGACATTTAGCCAACTGAGTGACCCAGGCGTCCCTAGTCCCAACTAGGGGTTGGTGCCCCAACCCACATTGGGGAGGCTTACCAGGGCCTCCGGCTTGACTCTAGTTTTTGTCCCCCTAGTTTTACAAAGCTGGTGAAAGCATCACTCAGCTTTTCAGCCCCATATTCTAAAATATGCACATTCCTTCAGGGGGAAAAAAAAGGCAGCTGCAAATGCCAGAATCACCTCTCTGAATTTGTCTTCTCTTAGATATCCGCCCAGAGATTCCTCACTGTTAGCTCTCCATTGTCTTCAAGCTGATTAAAAATATTTTAAAATCAATGGTCCATGCCTACATCCCTAAGCACTATTAAATAATCTCACATCTGTCCTTCCCTCCTTCCCACAGAGAAGGAAGAGAGGGTACATACAATGGGGATAACTAAGCATCATGTTCCAAACATTAATAAAACAGTAAAGAGATACTTTATACTCAGAAGTAAGTGCAGACATACTCATTTTTAACTATGTAAATTACTGATCTTATTAAATTTTCATGTAAGACAAAGGACTATCCAAGTATTGAAGATGGTTTTTATCATAATAATAAGATAGACAAAATGCTATAGTCCTTGAATTTATATTACATAGATGTATGGATAATGTTACATGTAAATACATGTTTTATATCTTTGGGGATTTCAGAGGCTCTTTCATTACTAATTAAAAATGAAAGATTTTTTGCAGTAATTTACAGCCATAGTTTGGTACTTAAGAGTCCTTTATCAGTTTTCTCTCTGCTTTCTTTCTTTACTGCCCCTTCCTCTCAATATCCCTTCTATGATCCTCTTTGTTTGTTTTTAATTATGTTCAGTTAGCCACTGTACGATCCTCTTTGATTGAAACTTAAGGCCCTAATAGATTCCCTTGCACAGGGTCTGTTGGTCACATAAGCACAGGCAAACCTGTAGTGAAGGGAAATTATTGTATAAAATTATAGTTAGTGGCAGAGCTGGCTAACATCCAAATCTTCTGAATGCCAGGCTCAAATTTTTCTGTAAGCCTTGTGTCTTCCCTATCCTGACAGCATACTCTCAGGCCAAAATAGTGTTGATGTGCTTGACCAGGGGAGGGTTGAGGGAGAAGGTACAGGCAAAGGGTTCACTTCCCTTCTTATGAGAATTCTCATGAGAATTTTATTTTCAATCGACTCCTAGCTCTGTTCTAGTAATTTGATAAGGTAGTTTGTATCAACTATGTTATTAAGCTACACTACTTGACCACCAAGTAACTACCATTTGATTGGAAATAATTATAAATGAACTATTAATATCTAACAGGAAACCACAGGTTTGAGTTTTCCTGAGTGTGCTGACTTTTGTAACCAAGTGGATCCATTAGGGGGACCCAGACACGATGTGTGTGGAATCATTATGAGACATCCTGGCCCCCAAGGCATGGAAACCAGGGCAGGTCTGCACCAACCCAATGTAAATCTCTCTTCCTTGCCTCTGAGCTTTGTAACCAGGGGACAAAGTAGCTATGTGTCTGTGTGGACATGACAAGAGCTTCCATATAAAGAGAAGCACCTGCCGCCACCCTGCTCGGAGCTGCAGTTCCCAACTTCTCTCTTGCTGTGTAGACAGATACCAAACTCATATCAAACCTTGTCTATGTTAGTCTTCTGAGCAGGAATGTTTAGTTGAACCTAAGACCAGCTCCTGGTGGGGCCAGCAGGTGGCCTCTGGGCTAGAATTGGACAGCCTGTGCCTCATGCTATGCTTACAACCAGCCTGATGAGACAGGGATTCCTTGTCTACTCCCTAAAAACAAGCTGCTTTTTTATAACACACATTTTAAGCTTTATTTGTGATGGAATACCATCATCTGCTTTAAGGACCCATAAAAAATTACCTAGGATCCTGTTTCCTGGACCCAAGAGTCCAATTGCTATAATGTCAACTCTATTCTCTAAGAATTTCAATAGTAGATTCCATAACCTAGATGAAATGTGCCAATTTGAATGGGAGTGTTTCACTCTCTTAAACACATCATGGTTGTTGGAGTAGAGTAGAGAACTGAATGCTGCTGCCTCTCCTTCTCTCTGCCTCCTTTCAGATGAAAAACCCACCTCACCTGAGCTGCGATTCTTATTTTTGAGTTTCTCCCTCGGGTAACTCGTCTGTGTCTGAGACCGCCTCATCTTGCTGTTGCTCCACAAAATCCTTGTTGACCATGTCCTCCGTGTGGCTGTGGATGATCTGATGGGCTGCAAGGATGTGCTTCCGCTGGGCGTTCCTCACTGTACCAAAGTGACAAGAAATTTTACTCTGAAAGTCTAAATAAGATCATTCCCAAAGATTTTCAAGAAAGTAGTGACAGAAATGATAATTCTGTAAGCCACATATTCCCTTGCTTAAAGCTGATGAGATTAAGTAACAATGACCTGCTCTCTGTTTTAGAAGTACACCTCCTCCAGGAGCCAGATCTAAGGCTCATTAGTGCCCACTCTCAGGTTCCGTGTGGTCCAGCTCCTCCCCACCAGGCTTCCTCTATTCCTCTCCTCCACAGCTGCCCTCCCCTGGAATGCCTGCACACCAGTCCCACCCTCTCTGCGTAGCCCAACTCCGGTCCCAGCTCCTCCAGAAGTCTCCTCCCACTGGGCCAGCCTGCATCTACCACGGCCACACCTGAGTTCGTACAAACCCACGCAGCACTGAAGCACTCCGCATGAGTTCCGTTTTGTTTATTAACTAGGTTGTAATGACTTAAAGGTAGAGACCTTATCTCCTACTTCTCTTTGAGCCTGGAAGATACTTGTTGACTGATGATGAGTTTCTGAGCTCATGGCTGTAGAAAGTGGTCTTTGCTCCATATTCTAAGGATATTTATTATCAGTAGTTAGGGATCCCATTTCCCTTGGAAGGGACTAATCCTGATGTTGATGATGATGATGATGTTAGCATTTAGCATTTGCCCTTACTTTGTGCCAGGCACTGTTCTAAGCAGTTGGCATATATTCATTTAAACCACCCCACAAGCCTAAAAGAGACTATTAATAATATCCCCATTTTCGGAGAAGGAAATGGAGACACAGAGAGATTAAGTAATTTGCCCCAGATCATACAGCTAGTACAGTAAGAAGTACTACGGATTCTGTGCTATTCAGGTGTCAGCAACTTTACAGAGGATAAATCACACAGCAACTTCCACACAGACCACAGTTCAAATCTCTAAGTTGTATAAAATCTCTAAGCACTTATTTCCAGAACTGAAAAATAAGAATAGACCTCTAGCTATTTTAAGAAATTGATATAGGTACTTTTAAAATGCTTAGCACAGTATCTGGAACTTAGCATGCACTTAAAATTCGGTAGTCACTGTTATTTTATATCTATATACAGGTTTTTTCAATCATGAAATATCTCAAAATGGTCTATATATATTATCTTAATTTGGGGTAAAGAGTATATATAATACATATGGTTCTTTTATTTGAAAAGAGAAACAAAAAGGTCCTAGTGTGTGCTCCCTGTCCAGATGGCTTTCTTCTCTCTACAAAGAGGCTAAGGACTTGCCCACCTTCCCCACAGACAAGTTCCACTGGATTCCTTCAGCTCAAGTGCCTCCTCAGAGGCCACTTTCCCTCAGAGCCCAGAGAAGCTAGGAGATGGGTCATAAACTAGTAACTACTAAACACACTATTTCCCTGCCTCCTTCAATTCCCTCAGTTAGAGGTGACCTGAAGCAGGCTGACCTCACTTTGGATCTAAGAAAAATAAAAAGGAGTTACATATTTTCTTAAGATTCAGAAAACACAAGATCCCTTTTATAAGATGACACAAAAACGTTGATTATTTTATCCAAAAATTAAATATTGTTGGTATAAGCACTACCATATACCTATGATGGGAGTATGAATTAGGACAATCTTTTCGTGGGGGCTACTTGGTAGCATCTAGCAAAAGTAAAACGCACATACCCTATTTCCAGCACTGTACTGCTAGGAATTTACTGTCAGTAGCATGACCAGGATTTGCATAAAATATATTGCTTGCAGCACTGCTAGTTATAGGAAAACACAATGAAACAAACTAAATGCTTATGACTAGAAGGTACTGGCTTAAAAATTACAGTATACTTATGTAATGGGAAAAAAAGATATTTCTTTGTTTTCTTCCAGTGCATTAGAATTCCATCATTCCTTTGTCCCTATTAGGTGATCTGAAATGTTATACTTCTCTAAGCCTGTCCAGAATTCCCTGCATAACATGGAAACCTTGTAAAAAAATAACCAAGCTGTTCTTTCACTTAAAATTTTTAATTTAAATTCAATTTAATTAACATATACTGTATTATTAGTTTCAGTGGTATTATTCAGTGATTCATCAGTTGCTTACAACACCCAGGGCTCATTACTTCAAGTGCCCTCCTAATGCCCATCACCCAGTTATCCCAACCTCCACCCACCTCCCCTCCACCAACCCTGTTTGTTTCCTAGAGTTAAGAGTCTCTTATGGTTTGTCTCTCTTTCTGATTTCATCTTACTTTATTTTTCCCTCCCTTCCCCTATGATCCTCTGTTTTGTTTCTTAAATTCCACATGAGTGAGACCAAGTGATAATTGTTTTTCTGATTGATTGATTTTGCTTCAAAATCAATACTACCCTCTAGTTCCATTTACGTTGTTGCAAATGGCAAGATTTCATTCTTTTTGATGGCTGAGTAATAATCCATTGTATCTTCATATACCACATCTTCTTTATCTATTCATCAATTGATGGACATCTGGGCTCTTTCCATATTTTTTTATTGTAAACATTTGAGGTTTACAAAAGATCATTTTAAAATTTTTTATTCTTTTTTTAAAATTCCAGTAAAATTAAAATAGTGTTATATTAGTTTCAGGTGCATAATACAGTGATTCAACAACTATATACATTCTTCAGTGCTCATCACGTTATGTGAACTCTTAGTCCCCTTTACCTATTTCATATATTTGTCCACCAGTCTCCCCACTGGAAACCATCAGTTTGTTCTCTATACTTAAGATTCTTTTTTCTTATTTGTCTCTTTTTCTTTGTTGATTTGATGTTTTTAAATTTAACATAGGAGTGAAATCATAGTGTTTGTCTTTCTCTGTCTGACTTACTTCACTTAGCATTATACCCTCTGGATCCATCCATGTTGTTGCAAACGGCAAGATTTTATTCTTTCTTTTTAATGATTTTATTTCTTTATTTGACAGAAAGAGAGAGAGATCACAAGTAAGCAGAGAGGCAGGCAGAGAGAGAAGAGCAAGCAGGCTCTCCGCCGAGCAGAGTGCCCAATGCGGGACTCGATCCCAGGACCCTGAGACCATGACATGAGCCGAAGGCAGAGGCCCAACCCACTGAGCCACCCAGGCACCCCAAGATTTCATTCTTTTTTAATGGCTGAGTAATATTCCATGGTGGATATATACCACATCTTCTTTATCCATTCATCTACTGATGGAACGGGCTGCTTCCATAATTTGGCTATGGTAAATAATGCCACAGTAAACACAGGGGTGCATATATCTTTTCAAATTACTGTTCATACTCTTTAGGTAAATACCCAGTGGTGGAATTACTAGATCATTTGGTAATTCTATTTTTCATTTTTTTTTTTTTGGAACTTCCATATGTCTTCTACAGTGGCTGCACCAGCTTGTATTCCCACCATAAATGCATAAGATTCCCTCCTCCTTTTTTTTTTAATAGATCCTTGCCAACACTTTTTTTTGTGTTTTTATTTTAGCCAGGCTGATTGGTATGATGTGATATTTCACCATGGTTTTAATGTGCATTTCCCTGATGATTAGTGGTGTCATCATCTTTTCCTGTGTCTTCTGGCCATCTGTATGTCTTCTTTGGAGAAATGTCTGTTCATGTCTTCTGTCCATTTTTTAAAAGGAATTTTTTTTTTTGGTGCTGAGTTGTGAAAGTTTTTTATATTTTTTCTAAACCTTTACTGGATATGTCATTTGCAAATATCTTCTCCCATTCAGTAGTTTGTCTTTTAGCTTTGTTGATGGTTTCCTTTGCTGTGCAGAAGCTTTTTATTTTGATGTAGTCCCAGTAGTCTATATTTGCTTTTGTTTCCCTTGCCTCAGGAGACCTATCTAAAAAAATTGTTGCAATGACCAACCTCAGAGAAATTATTGCCTGTGCTCTCTTCTAGAATTTTTATGGTTTCAGGTCTCACACATATGTCCCTAATCCATTTTGAGTGTATTTTTGTATCTGATGTAAGAAAATGGTTCAGCTTCATTCTTTTGTATGTAGCTGTCCAGTTTTCCCAACAGTATTTATTAAAGATACTTTCTCCCATTACATTTTCTTGCCTCCTTTGTGGAAAATTAGTCAGCCATTATAATTGTGGGTGTATTTCTGGGCTTTCTATTGTGTTCTATTAATTTATAGATCTGTTTTTGTGCCAGTACTATACTGGCTTGATTGCTACAGCTTTGTAGCATATCCTGAAATTGGGATTGTGATACCTCCAAGTTTTGTTCTTCTCTTTCAAGACTGCCTTGGTCATTCAGGGTCTTTTGTGGTTCCATACAAATGTTAGGATGATTTGTTCTAGTTTTGTGAAAAAATGCTGTTGGAATTCTGAAAGGGATTCCGTTAAATCTGTAGGTTGCTTTGTGTAGTACGGATACTTTAACAATTTTGTTCTCCCAATCTATGAACATGGGATGTCTTTCCATTTGTGTCATCTTCAATTTCCTTCATTAGTGTTTTGTACTGTTCAGAGTAGACATCTTTCACCCCCTTGGTTACGTTTATTACTAGGTATTTCATTCTTTTTGGTGTAATTGTAAATGGGATTATTTTCTTAATTTCTCTGTTACTTCACTATTAATGTTTAAAAATGCAACAGATTTCTGCTTATCGAGTGTGTATCCTGTAACCCTTCTGAATTCATTTAGTAGTTCTAATAGTTTTTTGGTGGCATCATTAGGGTTTTCTCTATATATTATCACGTCATCTGCAAATAGTTAAACTTTTACTTCTCTTTACTAATTTGGATGCCTTTTATTTCTTTTCTTCTGATTGCTGTGGCTAGGACTTCCAGTACTATGCTGAATAAAAGTGGTGAGAGTGGACAACCTTGTCTTAATTCCTGATCTTAGGGGGGAAATTCTCAGGTTTTCACCACTGAGTATAATTTCAGCTGTGGGTTTTTCATATATGGACCTTATTATGCTCAGGTTAGCTCCCTCTAAACCTACTTTGTTGAGGGTCTTTATCATGAAAGGACACTGTGCTTTGTA